CAGACGCGGGCACTCTGGATGTTCAGATTGGTGCAGTAGTCCGTGATCATGCGGATCAGCTCCGCGTCCGTCTTGCCGGACTGGATCTGATGCTGCAGCATTCCGGCTCCCGCTCGGCAGGCGGTGCAGGTCACCTTGGACATCACGCTGTTCTCGATCTCGAAGGCCACCTGCTTGAGGTTCAGCAGCTTGAGCGCCTTGTCCACAAACGGCGGGTACACCAGCCCGTCTCCGCCGGCCACATCGTACCACAGCATCCTGGAGCTGGCGGTCTGGTTGTGCCGGATGCTGACCAGCCGCTGCAGGAACTCCGCGTCCGAGCTGTCCGAGGACAGGGCGCGGTGGGTGCGGTTCGGATGGAGCACTGGCTCCAGGTGGGGCTGGATGCTGCGCGGCTGCTCCTCAATCACCCAGCTCTGCATCTCCGGCTGGGTCCAGTTGATCTGCGGCTTGATGTGCGTGAACAGGAAGGGCAGGGCTCCAACTGCGGGCGGGGGAGTCTTGGTTAGACGCTGACTTGCTGCCAACCCATTCATCTACTCACCATCTGCCAGTGGGAGCACGGCTACAAGCACCAGGATGAGCCAGCATTTTCCCCTGGGATTGGGACTCGGCCACGGCGGCTGTTGCTGTGTCATAATGTGCGGACTTGTGGACTTCACTACGCCAGGTTCAACCAGGTGTGGACTGGAGTATGCCGCTTGACCTACATAACAGGGTTTACCCGGGAAAAGAAAACAATAACATTAAGAGACAGCCAGTTGGAGAGTCATTATCTTGTGGAACGAGTTTCATTGCGCCGCCTTTGCAAGTAGCAGTGCCAGTATGTTCAGTGGCTCATCAACGTTTTGGGTTTGTTTGCTGCCTGATTTATGGGTACTATCGTAAATATTTATGTAATGCAGGGACAGGCTCTCAAATAAACCGGCTGCTGCTATAACTCTTTAGTGGTTACCCCTTGCCAGCTCAGTGGAAATATTTGCCAGGTTCTACGCTTTTCCTATGCAAAATCCCTCCGCCTTCGCACGCAAAAGTCACATCATGTTTTACCGAGTTATTACATCTGCCATGACTGAACCAGAATGAATGAACCAAACCTGTTTGCAAATCCTGCTCATTTATTCAGCCATAAAGGTATCTTCTCCATGCAGACCATAAATTGCCCCTTGGCTTTTGTCGCATTACGTTGCTTGGCCACAAATCCTATTGGCCCTTCCCAACCGACGCCCCAGCCCTCCACTTGACCCTCCGATGCCTCGTCACTGGGGGCTCCAAATCTAAATTTCAATTTGTGTGCTGCTGCTGGTCGCTTTCATCAACATTTGACAGCACTTAAAATCTCGTTAGCTGAAATGGCAGACATGTTTGGACGCCCACAACACAGCAGCAGCAGCAGCAACATCCACAAACAGGAGCAACATCATCGGTAAAGTCGGCAAATCGGGAATGCCACCTCCCGATGCATCCACATTGGATGGAATTGTGGCGGCGCTTATTCGGATTGACAGATACATTTGTAGTGCTCAGTGCCGGCGACTCATGTGCGCTGTACTTATAACATAAGCTCATATCGGGTGTTGTTGCCCAGCATCACGGCATCACGGAATCACAGCTCACTTGCTGATTTCTGAGATGGCCTTATCAAGCCGCCTTATCAGCATCTGTTGCCCAGATGTAGTTGTGTACGCCACTGCCCAGCAGTTTCGTTTGTGGCTGGCACTGCGCTATCAAGCTGCAGTTGTTTTTGGGGGAAATCGCTTTATCAAAATATAAATACTCGTTTGTAGTGGTAAACAGGACTTAAACAACGAAATGGTTTAGATAAGGTATTGAATTTAATTGCCCGAAATGAACTTGTAAGCATACACCAAACACTTGTGCAACGCTTTCCTGTGAATACTTTGCTATATGCTACATGCGACATTTAATGAACTTAATCAACAAAGCACTCGAATGGGCGTCTTTGACCCTGGGTCATCTCGAGACTTCCAGCCGATGGCTCAGCCGTCCAAACGGCTTTGTATCACATGACACGGCGCACAAAGTAACAATCAAGTGCGAGTAAACAAAACAACTAAAGCCAATTGATTTGTTCGTCGTGTTTTGTGTTTTGTGTTTTGTGTTTTGTGGGGGGCCAGGCCCACATTATGCGCCCGCTCAATGCCGTCCAATTGGCATGGCCACGCCAAATCGGCCGACCGTGCCTCCTCGTCCAGTGTCCATTATCCATGATCCGTGAGCTGGAGCTGCAGATGGACATGGAGGCGGCGCTGGAGCCAGACAGGCGGATGGCCGGACAGCCGGACGATGGACGACGGACGACGGACAAGTGTCGCACGAAGGTACATTGGCCCCTGGACGGGCAGAGAAATCGTCGGCGTCTGGTGGTATGGTAATGGCCGAGGGTGCAAACACTTTTCATTTGTCTCGGTGGCTCGAGCGAAAATCGAAAGTGCTTCTCTAGGGCGCCGGGCTGAGCTGGGCCGTAGTGAAGTAAAAATGCATTATTAACACATTTGAGGGGGGGAGGAAACTCGTTTCGCGGACAAGGTTAACCGAGGACAACACTAATTTCCAGCTGAATGCAGGTCAAGTTACAGCCATCAAAAGGCGTTACAAAACTATCAAAAGACGAAAGCCAGACTCTCCGGCCAACCGGTTTCATCGAGCACACTTACTACCTTACTACCTTACTACCTGCAGCACGTGGTCAGGAAAATGGATTTGGATTTTTGGCACACACCACACCATCCGCAGTCCACCGACCGTTCTGTGGTCCAGCTTTCTCATTCACAGTACTGGGGGGCAGCTCCATTCAGCCCCATGTGGGCTCGATTGGTTTGGGCAAAGGGCCGCAACGGGAAAAAATGTTGAGCGCCCGAAAAACTTTCACTTTCTTTAGAAATTATTTTTGATAATATAATTTCTTCGCTCGCCCGCCTTTGTGGTGGCGGAAAGACGCGGGCATGTGCTAAGTGGAGGGGGTCCCACGCCCATGACTGCACCACTTGCTATCTCAATCCGAATCTGAATCGGAATCGGAATCGCCCAGGGCCTGACGCACTGCGTCCCAGCTTGTTGGCTTTGCTGTTAGAGTCTGTTGTATAATGCTGCAGCCGCGGTCACGCTGCATGTAATGTTTTAATGGACATTTCTGGTTTTATAATAATTAGGAAAGACACGGAAGGTGGGAGCGACTAGCGAGATGAAAACGAAAGTGAGTTTCTTTTCTTTCCCTTGGCGTTTGTGGGCCATTTCCCAAGGGTGATTGATAGCTTTTAATTGATTTCACAAAAGAAAGCTTCGATCGGGAGAATGTGGCCCAGAACTGGCCCTTTTAGCCCGCGGCACGGATGACTGTACAGAAATGAATTGCTACTTAGGGCACGTAGGTGCTAGAAAAGTGACTTATTTCGATCTCCTCTCCAGCGACTTAGTATTCATGGTCAAGCTTCGGGGAGTGCGTGGGGCTCGTTTGGACGCGATGGTGGCCACTGGCCAGTGGAACAGCCTCGTCATGACCAAATACTGGCCCATTTATTTGCTTTTCTGGCCCGAACACTTTGGTTAGCGGGGGCTAATTAAGCATGCAGCCACATAGCCATCATCGTACCTCGAATGGCGCGCCTACAGCAAACTGCACGCAAATAGAAACGGGTAGAACAGAATGGAACAGAATGGAATGCCAAAGCCAGAGCCAAACGAAAGCGCAAAGCCGCGTAACCAGCAGTCGATTTGGATGGATTTCAGCCTTATATGGGCTGTGAAATGGAGTGGGGATCCTTAGAATGGGCTGCGAAAAGTGAAACAAGGCGGGGATTTCGCAAGACGGTCTGCGCATGCGTGACAAGTTAAGAAACTCAAAGTGAAATGCGCAAACTTGTTTTTCCTCTGACGAAATGTGTAGCAGTGTAGAGAAGCCAGCAACTGGTTTCGAATCGAGCCGAGTCCAAACCAAAACACTGGCAGACTTCGCATATTTACCTCTTCAAAAGCGTTCAGAAATGCACAATCGATCCGAAACGTGCACTTATGGGCCGAACTTTCGTTCTTGACCCACAACGAAGCCGCCTTTGTTCTGCCGAATTCTGTTTTCTTTTTTCTACCGCGGCTCTTTCCCTTTTTGTGCGTTTTCTTCGACGGCTGCCACTTTTTCTTTCCTTCAGCTACACTATTTATAGGCAATGTTGTGCCATAACTCGCAGCTCTGCTCCGGTGACTGGCCTCATTTATTTGCGATTCATTTGTTTGGCTCACGACTTCTACGGTCCGAATTATAATCTCTTTTTCGGTACGCTATGCACTCCACACTTGTCGCTCTGCCGTTTCTTCTGCCGAAGATTTCACCCGCCGCACTGAAGACTTCGCGTTTCACCGCGACACACGTAAAGAATCCAACCGCTCGCCGCGAACCGCCGACACTGAATGCCAGAAGACGCGGATTTCAGCTTTGAGTCGAGCTTCGGGCTGCGCGGCTGGCAAAAGTTCACGGGAAGAGAGTGTGCGCTCGGATCCCAAGAGCCAGAGAGCACGGGAGAGAGCTTTCGCCTCATAGCTGGGGCTGGCGTGCCCGACATTTGACAATTAACTGTAGAGCTCAAATCTCTCGCGAGATCTCATTGTTCCAAGCGGAAGTATCTGGTATATGATACAATCTGGTTCTATTGCACCGCAGCCTCATTGTCTCGTTCACGATCTGCTGACTCTATAATGAGCGACTTGGGCAGGCTAACTCTTTGTTGTCGTTCGTTTCGACCATTTGCATGGGCCCGACTCAAATTAGTCGGATTAAAGTTCCCAATTAGTGGCGCTGACTAATAATTTCGATTTCAGAAATGAGCCAGAGCAGTCTGGTCTAATCACATGCACACCATTAGGGGTTTTTGGGTGATAATTTCACAAACTGCTATGAATAGTCTAAAGTGGTTCTCAGAAGGCCTCCAGCTTTCGTTACTTTAATGACTGAGACCTTCCCGATCTCGAGTGTGCCAAGTGTTAATGGTTAGTTAGCTGCCAACACCCATTCGCTTTATTCCGCAAATTTACACATTTGACGAGGTACATAATTTGTGAGCTTATATCTAAATGCGTACTAGTGAATTCGTGGGTGATATACCCACCGTGACAAACCGTTTTTGCGGCTGTACCGACTGAATGGGGGCTGGATCCATCAATCAAGTTCTGGGGTTCTGCTAACCGTTGGCCCCCGTAGCCGACAAAGGCACCCGAGTGATTTACGACCCCCGCCTATCAGGCGGAGGACTCGATTGACGCACTCGACGAGTCACCGCACGGCTTGTAAATGGAGAACACCTCGTGTTTGTAGCTGAGGAACCGTCGCAGGCTACTCTGATCCGGGTGCGCCTGGTCGGAGGGCGGATCTGGCTGGTTCCCATCCCGGAGTACGGTGGTTGCTGCCCTGTCGCGGCTGGGATAGCACCTCCAAGTGAAGGTGGGTGGCCTCAGGCCGCAGCAGCAGCTGCTTTTGTCCATCTGGTCCGTGGGCATGCCATCATGCACTTTACCAGGAGGGCAGCCAAGGAAACCCAGAATCTTCTGCTTGACCAGCGACACAGTCCGAATGGTTTGGGTGAGGAAGGTGTAGAAGATGGGGTTCAGGGCGCAGCTGAACAGGTTCAGTATGCCGAAGCTGAAGTACAGGAGCCAGTCGATGGGCTCCGAGTAGGAGCCATAGAGCCGCATGATCAGGAAGACCCAGGCGGGCAGTCGAAGGCATATGAACACCGCCATCATCAGCAGCACCACCACCACCATCCTGCGGTGCCGGGCCTCCCTGGCCAGAGCAGTAACGGTGGTCTTCTTCACAGGATCGCCGACAGGACTCTTGGGCGGCAAGGGAGTTCTGTCCAGCGCAAAGGGCACGGCCACGCCCATGGCACTGACCAGGGTGGAGGGCATCAGGAGGTCGTGGCCATTCGCCATGCGCTTGAACTGACCCTCCTTGGGCTCCTGCTGCTGCACCTGCTGCTCCTGGTGGTAGTGCCTCCGCAGCCACAGTTGCCGCGCAATCACGGCATTCAGCCAGAGGAAGGACACTATGCACGGCAGGAAGATCAGGGTGAACAGTATGACGTAGTAGAGTCCGACGTCGTGCTGAAACGGAATTTTTATAGAATTGCATATTGTTTTCGCCCCGTCTGATAAGATAATCGGAACATTGATTCAACAACTTGACAGTCCCCGCCCAAATCCCCTAATCGCTGTCAACTGTATTAACCGATAATCCAGTCAGTCGTTGACTTACGTCTCCGGCCAGGCACATGTGCACCATTTCCAACTCGGTGACCGTCAGCTCCTCGGGCACAGCGGTGGCCACCACCTCCTTCCCACCACGCTCCTCGCCAGAGTCCTCCACCTCCAGGAGAAAGATCTGCCGGTAGTCGTAGATGCCCAGCAGCGGGCCAGAGGATCCTATCGAGCAGGCCCAGATGAGCAGCATGCACAGCGTGCTGAAGCGTTTGTCCGGACTCCAGAACCCCAGTACGGGTCGCATCACGGCCAAGTAGCGGTCCAGGGCGATGGCCACCAGGGTCAGGCTGCCGGACAACACCGACATGGTGGTGATAAAGGGCACAAACTTGCACATGAAGCCACCAATTGTCTAGGGAGATTTGCAGTTAGTCTCTATCAAATGGGCCATTGGAGATTGCCCCTCGCAGCTCTGGCCGACTCACCCACAGCTGCAGATACTCCGCCTGGAACTGAGCCATGTAGGACACGGTGCAGAAGACGCTGGAGACGAGGTCACTGCAGGCCAGGGAGATGAGGCAGGCCCTGAAGAAGGGCCGCAGCTTCCGGCGGGTGTTCACGTAGAGGGTGCCCAGGTTGCCGGAGAAGGCCAGCACAAAGAGGGTGCCCACCACGGCGGAGAAGGCGTTCCGCTTGAAGCAGTTCAGCTGGCTGAGATCCCCCACGAACACGCCCGGATACGCCTGGATCGAGGGACTCGGCGTGACCTCTCCGCGCTGGGCGAAGGCCCATTCGATGTACAACTCGAGCTGGTCGAAGGTGCAGAGGAGCAGGGCCATGCCCAAAAGTATGCCGCGCCAGGGGTCCGAACCTAAAAGCTTCCGCGAGCAAACTGCCGGCATTTATGGCCATTTAAGCCAGCGACTACCGATGGGTTGGCTAGCCTAATGTTTCATTATCGGGTGCCGCTTATCGCCCAGATTGCTGGGAGATCCGCCGCCATTATTATGCGCAGCTCGTTGCTCACGCCGTCACGATGATGAAGATACGAGTGGCAATCAGTCATCCATTCGTGCCCCCAAAGCCACTTGCCGCGGAGTAAAACACGTGGCGCAAAATCGGTTTCGGTAGCAGTGGCTCACATTTATTGGCGACACTTTCGTCCTTTACGGGTATAGCACATTGTTTATTGTCTCCTTTCGGTTGCATAAGTTCGGCTTCAAAAAATACAACATACGAGTATGTATGTTCGCATGTTCGTATGTTCGACTTGGTATATCTAATGTAGAGCTAACTGTAAGCTTAATGTACAAAAGAACTACTCAAAACGGCTCGACTACGGTGTAAACTTAACAGCGAAACTAACGTTAAGCATTAAACTAGGAGTGCTAGGGCTAGAATCTAGAAAACGAGCTTATCGAATAAAGCGGCGTGGGAAACCAATGAAACAGTTTATACAACGTTGTACATTACGGCTAGCTACAAATTACAAAACTAAGCACTCGGAAATACTTGGAATCAAATGGCAACTCAATCAGAAGTCACACGCACACACTCACTCGCCCACACAACACATGCCTCGATATTGTATATATATAGTACTCGTACATGGAGCTAGGTGTATAGTCTTTTAACCAGCGTAGAGCGTAGTTCTGTAGGATACTGCAGTAATCGTAGTGGATAAGGTAGCTTTACAACGACGGATAGTTCAGTGTTTGTATTCGAAAATGCAGCGAAGCTTTGGGGTGCGACCGCAACTGGTGGCGCCTAGTAGAAGGACTCGTGGGATCCGTCCAGGCACTGGCTGGCCATGTGCAGGGTCAGCGCCTGGTAGGGCAGCGGCTTGCCCATGCTCAGGTTGGCGGTCACGTAGACCAGGTAGCTGGAGCCCGGCATCAGGTTCAGTATGGTCTCCGTCTCGATGTTGTCGGGGCTGTTGGGCAGTACATGTCACATTATCATATCATTCACATACACATCGCCCGTTCCGAAACCCACCTCTGCTGCCGCTCCCTGCAGGTCATCCACTCGAAGTTCCTGTACTGCGTCACCCGCTTGGGCACGAAGTCCATGCAGTAGTTGGTCAAGTCCACCACGCTGCGATTGCGCTGCGGCAGGTTGAACACTATGATGCAGTAGCTGCAGGAGGATTGCAGTTGTTTAGTCCAATAGCTTACAAGAAGGCTTCACCCTTACCTCAGCTCTCGTTCATCCGGCGAACCGTTCCAGGCAATGGTGGCTCTGCTGCACCTCGTGCGCACGTTGAAGACGCTGGTGTTCTGGGGCAGCTCGGGCAGGTCCCGGAACAGAGCCTCGCTGCTCAGGGCCACCTGGAAAATAGTAGTACACATATATGAGTATATGTTGAGCCAGGGAGCGTAGTCCGCGGACTGACAGTGTCTCCCTACCATCACTTTCTGGGCGCGCAACGCCTCGTCGTCGTTGCTGGGCTCGAAGCGCATGAGGTACCGCTGCCCGGGAAGGACTCCCTTCTGCCGTATGTACGTGGGACTGTAGAAGGCCTCCGTTTTGCCCACCTCGCTGCGCTGGCGCAGCAGCTTCACCCGGATCTCGCTGCCCGAGCAGGGGATCAGGAGGTGCCTCATGAACGGCTCCCCCAGCTGGCGTGTCGTCTGCGGTACCTTGAAGCTGTACACCTGCTTGCCGTGCTGTCCGCCGATCCTGAGTTGCATCAGAGCCTGCTGCCTTAGGGCCAAGGGCTGGGTCCGGTTGAAGCTCACCTGGCTGCTGGCCAGTCGCAGGGTGAGGTTCTGGCGACCCTGGTGGACTCCAAACAGGTCCAGGTGGTAACTGCTCCTCGGGAGTAGGCGGCGCAGCAGCTGCTGCCGCCGCTTCCCCGTGCACACGATGTGCACATTCTGCCGGGGATTGAGCCGCCTTTCCCGCTGAGGAGGTGCACCCCAAACCACCTCCAAGGGTCCGCCTGCAGCGCAGCTGGGAGTCATGGGTCGCTGCTCCGTGTAGGCGGACACCGCCTCGCAGAAGCTGCTGAAGCTCATACGCGGCGTGTCCGGGGAGAGTCTCTGAATCACCAGGCAATAGTGCATGGCATGGAAATCAAACTTGCTGAAACGATTTGGAGTAACGATACGTGTACTTGTGCTACTTCCTATTGCATCTGGTAGTGAGTGATATAGATACTTTCAATAAGGCATGTAGATCTCACCTTCTCTCCCACTTGACGGTCATCTCGCGCTTCCGCAGGCGGTTCTGGGTGCGAATGGCGATCCGATGCGTGGCGTTGAGGAGCGGCCAGTCGTGCTGGGGATGCTCCGCCAGGGCGTCCACCTTGAGGGCTCCCGAGTGGCGGGCGAGGACGAAGAGGTCGTACTGGCCGCGCAGGGCGCAGGGCAGCACCAGACTGCCCACAGCCACACCTGGGCCAGGTGCCACTGCCGCCGGCCGGAGGGGGTTTCCTGCAGAGGCGGTGGCGCGGCGGAGGGGTTAGTGGAGGGGTGAGTGGAGGGAGGGAATCGGCTCCGCCAAGGGGCGGACTTACCTGTCTGATTGTAGTACATCTTGCGGCCCACGGGCGCCGAGAAGCGAATCGTCAGCGGCGTCGAGTCGTTCAGGTTCAGCACAAATCTGGAAAACGCAGAACGCAGAACGAGATGAAGGCGGCTCTTCGAGGGGCGGAGTAAGTGAGCTGTTAACGCCCTTTGTCAAAAATGATGACACTAAATTATCACACGCAATTTGTTTTGCCGCCTGTCTGGGCCCAACTGAACCAAATGAGTCAGCGGCTTTGGCCATACCCTAACCGACTACGAGTGGAGAATCCCTTGGGTGGGTTGTCTTTGGACAAGAAAACCTACGAAACCTTCTGGTTTGCCAGTCGATTTGATTGTTGGGCATCGGAAAGGGTATTCGCGCTTCGGCGGCCCTTGCTCTCTCGCCAGCTTTGTTTATCCATCCTCGCTGATGCGGCTGCAACTTTGTTGCAGCCAAAGATTGAGTTCAAGTCCCCTGGGCACTGGTCCTTCGCTGAACTTGCTGGCTCTTGTATTGTAATTAAATGCGAAATTTACGAGCAATTCTTCTAATGACAAACTGCTGAGACAAATGAGCGCGCCGATACACCCACATGGACAGCTGGCGGCTGGGCAAGAAAGGATGCAGTTTCCAAGGGGCAGGATGGCAACTGGCCACTGGCCACTGGCCATGCCATTGCAGCAAATGACTCATTGACTTGGCGAGATGGCCGGCCATCTCGAGTTTTATTTTTATGACCAGCTACTTCCGGCCAACGCCATGGCCCGTCCTCCTCGTCATCATCCCCCGCAATAAGGGCGCGGGAACAGAAGTTGGTGCGCCACATAGCCGTACAGCCATTATACCATATAGTCAGTATAGTCAGTCCGTCGTATTTTTGGCCGCCCTGCCAAAAGGTTCGGATTGATGGAGTGTTTTAATGCATTTCGACCATTGTTGGCGGCGGCGCCACTGCGACTGAGCAAATATTTGCTTTAATTTAAGCCTTGCATGTTGCAATGGCGATTGTTTGCTGATTTCTGTTGCTGTTGCTGCTGTTGTTGTTGCTGGGGGCATCCTCGTTGTCGGCACGCTGACAGCAGTCAATTATACAAGGCAAACATCGGCCAAAGGCGAAAGTTGAATGCGCTTCCGGATCCGCAACCCCAGAATGACTTAATGGACTTGTACAAGCCAGCAGTGATTAATGGATCATATTACGGCGATTTGGGTCCAAGCAGTCGGAGAAGCTATGTGGTTTTTATCCTCGGAAAAGACCCAAAACCGATATGCCCACGAAACCAACGGTAGGACATCCGTCACAGCACCTGCCCACTGAAATTCACACCAGCCGCAGTTAATTCGCAATTGTCCGCCGTGACAGAAGCAATAATGTGGTGCAATAATACGGGTGTCATCATCATCATCTTTCTGATGCAGGTTTTCAGCCCCGTCCAGGGGATAGTGAATCCCTCGAACGAGACGGCCAACACGGTGATCTTCATGCTGCCCGAGAAGGACTTGGGACCGGAGGTGTGGAAGGCGGGAATGAGTTGCCTAGATAGCTTTTCCCAAATCTTCTTCTACCGCAAGCCGACGGAGCGCTTCACCAGAGCCTATAACCTGATGCTGGTGCACGCTTACCATCTGTCCAGTCCGGCGGATCAGATCCAGGAGGGCTTCAGCCAGCTCATCAACGAAGCAGCCACGTCTCCAGGGCCGCCACATAGGGAGGAGCTCTTCCAGATGCGCGTGGCCAGTGACTACAGCAGATCGAACGAGACCGATGGACAGGGAGAGCTGATCCTAGCGGACAATTATGTGATAGTGGTGGACTCGGTGAATCGCTTGAAAAAGCTGATGAAGTACAAAATGGTCAGAATGAGATCCTGGAATCCAGGAGCACGCTTTCTGGTGCTCTTCCATAATGCAACCTTGCGGGATCGCCCGCTCGGAGTGGCCACCGATATCTTCAAGGACCTAATGCACTTATTTTACGTGCACCGAGTGGCCCTACTCTATGCCAACTCCTCCATGAACTACAACCTGCTGGTCAATGATTACTACAGCAATGTGAACTGCAGGATTCTGAATGTGCAGAGTGTGGGCCAGTGCCACGATGGCCAGCTTTACCCCAACACAGCCGTCGTCAAGGCCTCCATGGTGGACTACGTATCGGGATTCAGTCCCAGGAACTGCACCTTCTTTGTCTGCTCCTCCATCTCCGCTCCCTTTGTGGAGGCCGACTGCATCCTGGGACTCGAGATGAGGATCCTGGGATTCATGAAAAATCGACTGAACTTCGATGTGAGCATCTCCTTTCTGTATGCTAAACTAGGCACTGGAAGAAACTAACTATAATCCTGTATTCCACTCTTAAGGTAAACCACACCTGCAGCCTGGAGTCACGTGGCGAAATGGAAGGCCCCACCAACTGGACTGGCTTGCTGGGGAAAGTCCAGAACAACGAGTGCGACTTTGTGTTCGGCGGCTATTATCCGGACAACGAGGTGGCCGACCACTTCTGGGGATCCGATACCTATCTGCAGGATGCGCACACCTGGTACATCAAGCTGGCCGACAGACGACCCGCCTGGCAGGCGATGGTTGGCATCTTCGAAGCCTACACCTGGATCGGCATCATCCTGATCCTAATAATCAGCTGGCTGTGCTGGTTCACCTTGGTCGAGATCCTGCCGGAGCCGAGGTACTACCAACAGTTGAGTCTGACGGCCATCAATGCTCTGGCCGTATCCATATCGATAGCCGTCCAGGAGCGACCCATTTGCGAGACCACGAGGCTGTTCTTCATGGCCCTCACCCTGTACGGCCTGAACGTGGTGGCCACGTACACGTCCAAGATGATAGCCACCTTCCAGGATCCCGGCCACCTGCACCAGCTGGACGAGCTGACGGAGGTGCTGGAGGCGGGCATTCCCTTTGGCGGCCATGAGGAGAGCCGCGACTGGTTCGAGAACGACGACGATATGTGGATCTTCAACAGGTACAACACCTCGCCGGACTTCGCACCGCAGACGAATAACCTGGAGGCGGTGAGGTGGGGCCAGCGCTGCATCCTGAGCAACCGGATGTACACGATGCAGAGTCCGCTGGCGGACGACATATTCGCCTTTCCCTACAACGTCTTCAGCAGTCCGCTGCAGATGATCATGAAGGCGGGATTCCCCTTCCTCTTCGAGATGAACACCATCATCCGCCTCATGCGCGACGTGGGCATCTTCCAGAAGATCGACGCGGACTTCCGGTACAACAACACGTACCTGAACAGGATCAGCAAGATGCGCCACCAGTCCTCAGACACGGCCATCGTCCTGACCACGGAGCACCTGAAGGGACCCTTCTTCATCCTGGTGGTGGGCAGCTGCTGCGCCGCCCTCACGTTCCTCGGCGAGCTGCTGATCCGGGGCAGGAGCGAGCTGGAGGTCAGCAGGAGGGCCAGGCGGACGGTCAGGAGGACGAGGCAGCGCAGATGGAGGAAGCCGCCAAAGGACAACCGCTGGCAGCGCCAAGTTCAAGTGGCTCCAGTCGTTCGATTTACGCCAGTCGAACGACGCAAAGTTTTCCAGGGACAAACACAAACAAGTCAAAAGTAAACTAACCCAAACTAACTCCCTAGCTGGCTGCGATAAAATTGACTCAATTCACATAAATTTGCAATTGAGAGACACTGACTCTGACTGGCAATCCCCAAGTCCGCCCCCCATCCTCCTGCGCTGTCTGGGGCGCTTGTCTGGTCTATAGTCTATGTAGTATAGCGTAGTGTAGTGGAGTACGGTCTGGTCTGGTCCGTGCCGCTCGGGTCGCTTCTGTTACTTTTCACGCGAAATACTTAAAATCAGAGACAAAATTCTATTTTTGCAAACAACAACGGCGGGGAGTCTGCGTCCGTGCCGCTGGGATTGGGAATGGCAGTGGGCAGGAGAGTGGGCAGGGACGAGCTCCCTCCGCCTTCCTCAAATTGACAATCAGCTTCAGCTTTCCCAGCTGCTCCGCTGCTCTGCTGCTCCGCTGCTCTGCTGCCGGAAAACTCCGGGCGAAAACAGAGATAAAGAACGAGTTAAGCAGATATCCCCATAAGTGGCGCATTCGCTGATTGCAAAGGAAGTTACTGCAGGGCAGCCAAACAAATATCGCTCCGATATCAGATGGCCCAAGTTTCGGTTCGAGTCGAAAATATCCCAAATGGAATTGCGAGTAGCGCCACGGAGAAGGGACAACTTTTGCGGAATTATGTGAGTTACGGGAAATAAATTCGTTGATTCTTAGGTTCCTGTTCCTGCCCATTGGATGGGCACTAAACTGGGTTGATGGAGCTTAAACCATTCACATGAATACGCGGAAAGCTGTAAATAAGATTCAGGATGGCAACGAATGGCCAGATTAATTGGCTCTATAAAATCTCGAATTTTCAGCATTCAAATAAAATCCAGCACATATTAGATATCTGGATATCTGCAGTCATAAATCAGCTTGCGCCCTGGAAAATTCCCACGACCGTGCAACTTGTTGAGACAATTTATCATCTGTTTTCATTAATGGATCTTGTGGCCGACATTGACTGGCGGGGATTACTCATCACCCAGCCAAGTGCGAGTGGAGTTCGCCCACTGGCCCATTGCGCCATGTCTCCCGTTTCACCCGTGATCCTGTTGTCGGCCAAGTACATAACAATTATTTGATATCTCTATTATTCCGAGCACTATGATACTGATTCTGCGAGTGATTCACGCCGCAAACAATGCGAAACAAAGACGCACTCAATTACTCACACCGAAATGGGCACAGTGAGCACTTAGTGTCCGTAATTCGAAAATGGCTTTCCCTTCCCTTCGCTTTCCCCCAGTTTTGGGGAAATTTTAGACTATTGAACTATGGCGATGAGTCGTCCGACTAGGAGCGACGCCCCTCTGTCTGTTCGGTTCGCTTCGCTTTGGCCAGGACGGATTCTGATTCTGATTCCGATTCCGATTCCGATTGTGATTGCGATTCAGATTCCGATTCCTGCTCGGATTCCCATACCCAGTCCCATTCCCATGCCGCAGACTCAACCTCAGACGGACTGCGTCTGGCCGAGTATTTTCGTACTCTGTCAAGTGCTAAAAATACTATACCCACTGCATGCCCACTCGCAGGAGATCTTTTCTGGCGGCGCAGAACGATGACGACGATGTGAAGTGAAGTGATGTGTTGTGGATGTGGATGTGGATGTGGCTGCTCAGTGCGATGATGATGATGATGATGGGGCATTGGTCATTGTGCGAAATTCAGTTTGTTTTGCTTTTGCTGGCCGGCAAGGTCTGCGTAGTTTCAGCTGAGACCCGAAAACAAAAAGTCCAATACTAAATTATGCTTCGCATTTTATGGCAATTTGTTGCTGTGGCTGTGGCTCCTTTGATGCGCTTACAAATAAATAGTTTCACGCCATAAAACTGGAGATGCGGGCGGGTTTGCCGAGTGTCGGCCGGCAATAAAAGTTGTTTACACGCCGAGCCTGCGGCGCACATAAAAATGCAACGCCAACAACAATCAAACAACAGCATCAACATATTAACAACATTTTGCCTCCATTCCCTGCACAAATCGGCCGAAGGGAGGTTGAGTTGGGGACTGGGTTCGTAACAGGGTGAAAAGTTCGAGCAGGCATTTAATATGAGTGAGTGCAGAGTAATGCATCGAAAGATAGATAGGCACTTTTTTTAGGTAGCTTCCAAACAAATCCAATGACATCTCAATTGAATGAAAATTAAAATAAATTAAATGAAATTAAATAGGTAAGGAATTCTGGCTCATTCATCCTAATCACATTTTAGGACACCTAGTGGTAAGAGGTATCCGCCAGTCGAGGGAGCTCCTGAATAGGTAGCCACACATTCACCTTTCCGGCAGTTTTGGGGTTTGTTTTGATTTCAGGCCACTGACTGGCTGCCCAACTAGCGAATGCCACAGGTGGCCGCCAGTGGCATCCGCGTCCTGAATGATCGACTTGCGAATGCGAATCGGGAACTGTGTTCTGTATACTCTATACTGTGTGCTGGGAACGGGAATGGGAACGCGAACGGGAGCGCATATTGCGCCGTCGAATTAAGTCGTAAAATGAATATTTATGATTTGTTTGCGCAAAAGTATAATGCGTCCTCCCCTTGATTGGCGGCATGGCGTGGAAGGATTCGCACGGGGCCACTGGGAATGGGAAATGGGAATTCGGAATTGCGAATGGAAGCGGGAATATAAGTGGGAATGGGTATGGAAATAGGTATGGCTATGGGCATGGGTATGGGCATGGGCATGGCCCGCTGATTCTAGCAAAACGCTTAATGGCTGCACGCGCCATAAACGCGATTCTTGCCAAAGCTGCGGCTCTTTAGCAACAGTGCCAACTCGCTCCTTTCACACGCTCAGCAAGCCGGCAACCCGAGCCGAACGTCACGTACTCTGGTTCTAGTTCTGGAGATGGATCTGGGCTCTCGGATCTCCGATCTCCGATCTCGGAGCTGCACTTGGGCAATTGGAGCACTACCGCCGGGTCGCGCGACACCGATGCCCAGTACACACTCCTCGCAAGAGGGAAAAATGCAGAGAAAAAACTCTAAAAACGAAAACGAAAAGAAGTTGACGACAAGCCACGACATTAATTTGAATGTTTGCTGGCATTCTGTGGCAAATGATCGAGTGTTATACGAGCCGGCGGCTTCCAGTTTCCCCGCTTCGCAAAAACGGGGAAAAAAAGCTTAGCACTGGGTGCACGTTCACTGGAGAAGATGAAAACTGAAATCCCGGAGTCCAGAGCCTAAGCGAAAACGTGACGGGCCTCTTTTGACCCAGGCCCAAGCTGCGGCCCATCGGAAAGCAATGAAAATCGTAAAAAAGGAACGTTACTCATACGCCACGTGCAACGCAGTGGGAACAGTGGGGCAGAGTAATGCACGCGGACTCCGATTTGCTGCGCGAAACTTCCAGCTGGCTGCTAATCTGTACCTTCATCTATGCTTAATACAATGGAAGTGATGTATTTGGGAACTTTTATCAGAATGGGGAAGTGGTTAAAACTGCTCCTCGCTTAAATTAAATTCTTAAGATCAAGAAGAGCGAATCGAAACATGGATTGATTAAAGTGGAACTTGTCCTAGTCCGAGAGGTTTCACTGGCAACTCAGCCCGACCCCACAGTGCGATTTGTGGTGGCAGCTGGAAGGACAACAAAACTCGCACACTAGACAAATAAGAAGAAGAGCGACGGCAGCACACACACACACACATGACATGCACACACACTTATGGAGAAGCGTAAAAAATCTGGCCGTGGATGGTTTTTTGTTTGGCCAGCCACACGTCGTGGTTATAAATTATTTTTTGCTCCTGCTCCTGCTCCTGGCGGCTTTCCTTCGTCTTGGAGAGGCGCCCCTAAGTTTGGCTCCGCGGCCATCTTTCGCATTTGTTTGGCCGTAATTTGATTTGTGTGGCAGGCGGCGTCGCCAGCGCACTTAGCCGTATTGCCACCCATCATCGGAAGCCCAGAAAGCCAGAAAACCAGAAAGCAAAAGCAAAAGCCAAAGCCGCACTCACCGCTTCCTCTGTCGCTCCGCTAGAGCTATGTGCACGGGCACGTCCACGTAGAGGTCCTCCAGGTCGTCGAAGTCCTTCAGCATCTTGCGGTACCGCTGCAGCGAAGGACACTTCTGCGGCGGAACTGGCGTCGACCTGGCCGCTGGCACGCCGGCGTCCGGAATCAGCGGGTTCTGGAGCAGCTCCGTGGAGTCCAGGATGATGCGGTTGCTGGCCATCGGCAGATGGGAGATCTCCGCGAGCAGCGACGGGCTGAGCAGCAGCAGCAGCAGCAGCTCCACTCCTGGCGACATGGTGCTCCTTGGTTTTAGTTCACTTTGTGTACTTATTTCTCACTTATTTGGTTCTTTATTGGAGTTTGGGTTTTGACTAGGTGAAACAACCTTTGAGTGCGTGTTCTGCGGCTGAATTGATTTGAAATTCTCGTTAAATGAATGGCTTTTTGATTGGCCTATCAGATAACTATGGTTTCAATGGTCGGCAAATTGGATTAATTTCTTGTTGGGCGCATGTTTATTAATTGGGCTAGAGGCAACTTTTAATTGGCGGCCAAAATGGTCAGAATAGTTTACTTAATACGTTTAAATTGAATCAGAAACTTTTGACAAAACGCTTCCCTTTCTTCTACATAATTTATGAACTCAAGTTCCCGTTTAAATAGACAAACAGTCCGCCTTCTTGCCAAGTTTTGCAGTTCTAAACTTTGCCAGTGTTAATCTTCTTGTTTTTTCAAACTAAAGGAATAATACTTTTCTGCGATGCTTTCTCCTAGCAATTTCTCTTTGAATGAAACGCGCTGAGATACAAAATACTGCGTTTCTGCCCGACTTTTAATTCGCTGCCTCCCCTGAGGAGGAATAAATTGCGTTTCGCTTCTAATCCGTAAATCCGTAAATCCGAAAATCCGAAAATCCAAAAATCCGAAAATCCCGAGATGCGATGCCCTCGCCCGGAGTCGCATCCACCCATCCACCCCCGACTCCTGACGCAACTCCTGATTTTCTGTCCTCCGCTCAATTAAGGCCTGTCAA